AGCTTGCAACTCTCGCAATACTCCCCAAGATGAAGGATACAATTGAATTTATTCGTGCTTTACAAAATGCTTCCCTTGATGACCCTTGTTCGAAACTTAATGCTGCTGCTTTGCACCGTCTTCGCGAACCTCACCAAGCATCCGGAAGTCGGTAATCCAGACTTGCACCCAGTCGCAAGCTGAACAGCATGATAAGAAGATGAAAGCCTCAAGTACATTTGTCAAACTATTAATGAGGCATCGACCACACTTAATTGCACCATCGTAGCGTGGCGCGCATGCGAATGCAAATCGTGCGTCGAATTTGCGTTTTTGCAAGATCTATTGAAGCCCATCGATCCTGCCGCGGCTAAGCACAAGTATGACCGACACCGATTTTAAGGCCATTGAATTATCAGTCATTTGGACCGAACGAATGGAAAGCAAGTGGAATAGAAAGTAGAGGTAGTGTGTCTGAGCTCACTGCTCAGACAGCTGATAGAATAATGGCTCCGCAACGTAATGACTAGTCGACTGTTTGAACACATAGATGAAGGAGGAATAAGAGACGTGGAGGCGAGAGCACGCGTGAATGAAGAATGCAATGAAGACGACACTATTGGCATGGGACCATTTTCCCAAGTGAACTGCAAGGATTGATTACGGCGGAGTTGATTGTGCAGATTAGTAAGCAGATGTAAGCAGGGCGGCGTTGCTATCGACGTGCTCTGAAAGGGTCGTACCCGCGAGGGTAAATTCAGTGGATGGACTGGTATCATGCTGCGGTTCTTGTTCCGAAGCGGAGGAAGAGTGCACAAATCACGCTTAGATTGATGAGCTTGGCATCAGGTTTGAACTCGATGCCGTCACGTACGTCATGTGAGTGGGAATACAAATAGAATCGTTTTCAATTTCCAATTCACCAGTTATGGTTTGAAAATCTATTTTTATTCAATCAAGGACTATGTACTTCAAGGGCCTCGAGAGTGTCAAATGCACCATCATGCCCATTTTGGCGATAAAACTTGAAGCACTGGACCCGGCTCTACCCTGCGCTCACGAGAGGACGAGGAACCTCTGGCTGCTATGGCTGAACGGAATGGAATGAATGCGTCTAACACGTGTCGTGCTACATGTCTATGTGTGATTGGGACCCTTGGAACCTTCGAGAGCGCTGAACGCTGGTATATGAACACTAGATCATCATTATACACTCCCCATCCTCGAATATGACCATAATCTCAAACGATCCCAGTTGGTGGCCCTTCATCAATTCAAATATTTTTAACAGCTATTGGTTTGGTTCGTCATATTGTTTGCTAATGTCTCGATCTATCCAACATCAACTTGTCACGGTAGTTGCCACAAGCTTTGTGGTGGTATACGATTGGGGTGAGCAGCAGTGTTCTGAAATCGCTGATATTCTCATGATATTTCCAGTATTAACACTCCCACAAGAGGTAGGTCGATGCTATTGCCGCCAGAGCACCCAACTTGCTAACAAAGCTATCATAGATTGACCTCATTTGGGTGAGTCCCAGAGTCCTATATCAGAACAAGAACATTGAATTTGTGACAGACCCAACGCTGGTCTCTCATGACTGTGCTGTACCTAGTCGTCCGTACCTCATTTTATACCATAGCATGGTTGGCGGTTGTGCTGACTCCAAAATGTTCTAGATACGCTATGTTGGAATACCATATTCTGTGTATGTTAATCGAGGCCAAAATGTTGTTGCTGTACTGATGGCCCGTCTCTCATCATCAGTGCTACCATTCTGGGTATGTCTCATATGCACCGTGTTCGATTCTTCTGACCCGCGGCACACAGGAAACACTACGTTGGCCTCGTTGACAGATGCAGTGAGTATTCCGCAATCATTTCATTCCTATCCAATGAATACATTCATTTGTAGGGGTGAGTGCGATTTGACCATTGGACTTGGCTCGACATAATGAGTCAATAGGTGTAAGTCAAAGCGTTTGATCCTAGTACGAGAGTGACCGATAATCGGGTGTTTCAGGCAATATCATAGTCTATGCAACAAACGGGACAAATGTGGTCGTAACTGCCATGTTGGGAAGTGAGTTGCCCAGATGCGCACTGATATTGCCTCGACTGAAATATGAGCCAAGTCATCATGATTGCTCGGCTGCATGCAATGTATCAGGGATCTAGGAGGATGCTTATCTTTCTTGTTATCATCTTCCTGGCTGTAAACATTGCCTGCGGAGTAATCACGATCATAGGACTCAAGTATGGTTTCGTATCGGGTAAGCTTCAATTATTGAATTGAAGAACACAGCTCATTGGACTGATACCAGGGGAAGTGATAATCTCTGGTATTCATACGTGCCATTCCGGATTCGAGGGGGATAGCCAGCTTCTGATATCAATGATCTGGATCCTCAACTCTGTTTGGGAGGTCATCGCACTGTGTCTCTCAGTCTGGATCGCTGTGAAGCACTTACGTGACCTGCGACGACTCGGCCCATTGACGGGATCGCCCATCGGGGACTGTTTCAGAGTGCTGATAGAATCTCACGTGCTTTATTTTGCGGAGTGAGCTTGTAATGCGAATGTACTTATCGTTTTCTGCTCAAGTTCCGCATGTGCTAGCTTTGCCGGTGTCTCTTGCATCCAGCTTGTCAATCTCTCTCCAAAGTTCGAGGTGCGCCAACATGTCACTGACATCTACATGTGACCACTGCTCATCATTTCTGTAGAATTCCAATTCTGCAGCAGTTGCGATACTCAATGATGCTTTTCAAATTTTATTGTCCGTGCAGATGTTTGTACTGGGACCACGCCTCATCCTCAGCGTTCGACAATATCACGCTAAACTCGTAGTTGAATTGGACCCGGAAACTGGCATGAATTCAATCGCCCTCCAGGAGCGTGTGCATGTACCAACTAGTAGTACTGTGTAGGAAATGGTTGTCGAGTGTTCCCCATGGAGGAGATATTTGGTTGAGGATCCGTCATATTTATTCTAATTATGGTCTCCAAAGTATATTCTGGACGAGGTTTACGTAGAGGAACCCATTTCTTGTTGTATCGCTAAGTACTGGAAGTCGGTAATCCAGACTTGCACCAAGTAGCAAGAGGAAAAGCATGGCAAGATGAAAAGCCACAAGTACATCTGGTGCACGAAATGCCCAGTCAACAACAAAAGAAATTCAAATTATGTTCGCGTCGGACTATACCACATCCTACATGTTGGCGCACATAAGCCCACCATGACGAGCGGTATCTCTTGATTTAGAATCGATTTCCACAGGGAGAGGGAGGTGCAACGTACATCAACAAGCACATTGCTTTACAAAAGAAGAGTCATTAGACGCAAAGACTAATCTATTGTCTGCATACTGCACTATTGGCGACAATGGGCCCTGTGTGAAGATGCACAATAGAGAAAAGGCACGGGTCGAGCCCACAGTGGGACTAAATGGTTGGTGGTTATCGAGGAATAGCGGCGACCGTGACAAGCTTCCTTTCGTCTAACGTCCATGCCAAGCCTATCGGGGTAAGCCGTGACCAGGTCTACTATAGCTCTCTGATGTCGCCATTGAACTTGAGAGCACGAGCTGTCAAGTTCAACGCCGACTCCGAGTCTAGGGCTCGGGGAATTAGGGTTCCCGCGCTAATTGACCGGTGAGTTAGCATGACCCTCTACGAAGGCCAAGTGTAAATTACACCTAATTGACCCATGGCTTTTTGGCGCTGGTTTGCGCTAATTTGCAGGTAAATTGACTGTAATTTACACCACCTATGACCATTCCTCATTGAGGATGAAGTTGTACCTTGATCGGCCGCCACTTTTGCTGTCGACAGACCTGTCACCTCCGCGAGTAGCCATGGGTTGTATGGGGTAGTCTGACAGAATATTGAGGAGGTACGTGGATGATATGACAATATGTTCACCCGCTTCAAACTCATTTGTTTTTGCGCCAACTAAATCCACATGGTCCGTGATATCACCATCATCAAACCAATTCGCATCTTCATCATCCGAGTCTGGACATATACCTTGATATTCATCGTTCGAGCTCGAAATAAGGTCTGCGGTCGTGGTAGGTGGCCGAGTAGGCAGCGGGACAACAGTTGGTGGCTCATGTGATTGGGCGTCACACCAGATTATTGGATATCCAGGTTCATTCCGTTTTGGGTGCTACTGGCACAATATCGCTGATCGACGTCTATTCAAGCATGATTTGACGATATAGAGCATGACGATTTAGAACAGACTTACGAGGTGAGCATATGCCTCTGTCAAGAATGAATGCGGAGTAGAGATAGGAAGCGGGCTTCAAGTCAGGACCCGGAAGGTATCAAACGCTCCTGGGAAAGTATCAGTAAGGCGCTGACTACAACTTGAATATTTTGATATACATACTTTGATCAGGTCACGTCGGCTCTATCATGCCACCACCCGAGCGAAGCATAAGAAGAAGCGGCAGCGAGTCGTGAAACCCAGTGAGAACCGGACCTCACCGTATCGACGGAAAACGATGGATATATTTACAAATATTGTCAAAGCTACGCAAATCGTGAATTCAGCATATTATCGAGAAAGTTGACGTGCGTCGTCTCGATCAAAAGAAGCAAACACACAATTTTGTCAATATTTTCTTGCACATTTTTGCAGACATAGGTCAATCAATCAATCGAACACAGCGAAATTCGAATCACTTGTCACTTGTTTGTGTTGTTTTTAACTTGATAAGTGTACGCGACGCGCGTCCTTACTTTCAACTACATACTAGTACGATGGCTTCATCCCAGGTTGATCTGGTCCTGGGCCCATGTCTCTTCCTGTGCCCTGTGTTTCGCTGATTATCGATTACTCATGACGCGAGCAACTCTCTGGAAGCTTCATACATGCAAACACAGCAGATACCACTCCCCAAGACCGTCTCGATCATGGCAATGACACTGTCGACACGAGCACCGAGGACACAGAAACACCTGTATAAGTAACATGTGCAACCATGGTAAGTCGCCAACTCGTGCTTGTATTATGTTCACAGATACTGATGGGATTGTAGACCTCCTTCCCCATAACAAGAACCCTCTGTAAGTCTTCAAAGACCTTGTTCAAACTGGCACTGACTTGGGTACATGCAGTGCGAAGCTTGCTGAGCGAAAACGCGAATCTACTGTCCCCAATCCTGCAGTGACCCAGTACATCGAAGAACGGAAGGTATGTCATGTGTCGATCTAGAACATTGTATCAACCTTTGACCTGGAATTTTGGGCTTAGGTCACTCTGCGCACACCGTTGGTTGAAGCAGATTGTCGCAAATGGCTCATCAGCCAATTTCAGGATTTACTGGTCTGGCCTGATGAAAGAGAAGCAGCTGGTACGTACTCCTACATCTGCAAACTAGAAATTTCTTCACAGATATGGTAATTTTCGACAGTTTCCCACAGCCACCCAAAGTGGCGACAGAGCTCACAGAACGTACAGCCCCAGACGCCAAAGTGGTCACAGAGCTCACAACCGGGTCAGACTGTTCAAAATAAATTCAATGGTTTCCAGCTCAACGGCCTCAATCTTTTTAAAGTGTTGAAGTCTACTAGTAGTACTAGTACTTAGTACTTAGTACTTAGTAGTAGCAGGCTCGGAACTTCCTTTTAATTGCTAGCTTGAATTTGCACATTGTCCCCAATTACGATACAAACATTATATTCAACGAAATACCAATATATAGTAGTAGTACTGTACATACTAGTACTACTAATGCGCGCGCCGAACTTGAACACAAAAGAATAAGAATAGCTCGAGTCATCAGTCTAAAATTACTGATACACGACGGTTGGATTGTTCTGTGATAAGACATGAAGTTTGCAGTGGCGAATGTGAACAGATATGACTTACCTTGCAAACTGCATGGCGCAAGTGAACGGTGAGAAAGACCGTATTTTTGAAAAGTAATTCGCATATACCCTAATCCTATATCTGCTTTGTCGAGCTTTTTCTTCGAAACGTCGGACTGGTGCTTAGAAAGATTCGCCATGATTTCGCATTCTCGCACTACACAATCCGCTAGCACCTTCTCCGCCCTAAATACATCCCGCCTCGCCCTCGCTAGGTCCATGACGAGGTTGGCTTCAAGTTCATCGGTGTCGTTGATTGACTGTAAGTACCATGTTACTTAGAGCGAATGCGATACAATATGATTGACTTACCATTGACCTGATACCATCGGCTATATCGTACAGGTCAGAAATACCGCTGGAATCGTGACAACACGAGTGACAACTTGGACATTGCTGAACAGAGTGTGTGCGCGTACAAGGCATCAGGCGCGAAGATGATGATGGGATATCATTGCTGAGATTAAGACTGATTGGTGGGGCTGACATTTCAGAGAAACAAAGAGTAAGTTGTTGATTATGAATTGGGCTTCTCACGACTCACGAGTGTCGGACTTTGCGAGGACCATCATGTCCAATTTCCAGTGTCCTTCATGCGGTAAAGCCAGTTTCAGAGATCAGGTTGCTGTTGCTCGTCACATGAGCCAGCCTCGCTCAGGATGTAGCACCTGGCTACAGGATTTAATACGTCTGTGGGACCTATCTGACGATTCTATGAATACAGATGACTTGGACGGACCGAATATTCCCGGTGGTGGGCCTCAGGCTGAGGTTGAGTTCACATTCGGAGATAGAGACGAGTCATTTGAAGGTAGCGGTGAGAGTGGTGGCCAGGCCTCTGAGGAGGGATTACTTCCGAATGGTGCCTCAGATTTCGTCGACCAATATCCCGAATCTTCTCGGACGTATGGCATGGGGTACACCTTCCTCGACTTATTCAATTCTGATGAGAATAGTGTGTACTGTGCCAAGAATCCCTATTACCCATTCAGTGGCCGGAAGGATTGGGAGATTGCATCGTGGTTACTGCGCTCAGGATTGAGCATGGGGAAGATAGACAGTTTTTTATCACTCGACATAGTAAGCAAATTGTTTCATTTTCATTACAATTCCGATGATAAGTCTTTTGTCAAGATTAAGGGTCTTCCAATATCTTTTTCCTCGGCCAAGGAACTGCGAGGCAGAGCAGAAATGTTGCCCAGTGGTCCACGCTGGATGTCCCAAGTGCTCTCTACGAGTCATCCCACCAAATCACCCGTCGTTTTGTACTGGCGTGATCCCTTGGACTGTATTTCAGCCATTCTGAATCATCCCTTTTTTCACGATCGGTTAGACTTCACGCCTCGCAGGGTCTATACTACTGCACAACGCTTGTGTCGTGTATATTCAGAATGGATGACAGGTGATGACGCATGGAATATGCAGGTATATATTCATGTTTTGCACCAGTCGCTGAACTTAATGGTTTCTCAACAGTCTGCCCTACCCAAAGGCGCAACACTCCTTGGAACCATTCTATCATCCGACAAAACGAATATATCCACGATGACGGGTGACAGAGTTGCACACCCGCTTCTCGTCAGCCTTGCGAATATCAACATGTCCACACGACTCAAGACATCATCCAACTCCTTTGTACTCACCGCCTTGCTCCCCGTACCTAAATTTATACATAAGAATAAACGCATGCGAGGTGTACTCGAGGATCGCTTAATTCATGAATGTTTAGATATCGTCCTGCGTCCACTCAAGCAGGCTGCACGTGAAGGAGTCATGTTATCAGACCCTGTTGGACATAGCCGCTATTGTTTTACCCCCCTGGCAAGCTATATTGTCGACACTCCAGAGGCTATGATGCTAGCTACTGTCGGTGGGAAAACATCTCCGGTCACCATGGCCATGTTCAAGCAGTTCGGAGACCCTTTCCGTCACGAACCTCGCACGAAATCAACCACACTTGCACAGCTGGCTGTCGTTCAAACAAGGGCAGATCCCAACGATATTGAAGCCTTCTTTCGCGAAGCGCAGAAATTTCGCCTGAACGGTGTCTCTAAACCTTTCTGGCAGGACTGGACCCTTGGTGAACTGTCTCATTTCCTCACTCCAGAATTTCTGCATCTCATTCACCGAGAATTCTACGATCACGACGTCAAGTGGATGATTTGTGCGGTCGGGGATATGGAAATTGATTTCCGGTTTTCTGTGTTGCAGCCCGTCACTGGCTTTCGTCATTTTTACGGTGGTATCTCCAAGCTAAAACAGGTTACAGGTCGAACTCAACGTGACATTCAGCGTTCGATCGTTGCAGTCAGTGCGGACGCAGCACCTAGTGCTGTGATCACTGCTGTCCGAGCATTGATGGAATTTCGGTATCTCATCCAGTCACCACGTATTGATGAAGACGACATCAAGCGCATTTCTGGAGCCCTCGATGAATTTCACGCCAATAAACACGCTATCACAGCTGGAGGATTTCGTCGAGGCAACAAGAACAAAGTTATCGATAACTGGTACATTCCAAAATTGGAGCTCATGCAGAGTATAGTTCCCAGCATCCGCAACACTGGTGTCGCCATGCAATGGACTGCAGACACAACAGAGCATGCACACATTACAGAGATTAAAGACCCCGCGCGATCAAGCAACAACAACAACTATGATCCTCAAATTTGTCGACATCTCGACCGGGTTGATAAGTGCCGTCGCTTTGACCTTGCAATGAGTCTCGTGGATGGTATGGCAAGCTCGAGGCTACAGGATGACAATATTGGTGATGATGTTGACTTTGATGCGGATGATGATGATGACCTCCCCACGGAATTTACGGCCACTATAAAATGTCCTGGACATTCGCGCCCAATCACCAATTACTTTGCGATTGCGAAGATCCTCCAGCATAAGGAGGTTGGGACTGTCCCTCTGCCATTGCGCACATTCGTCATCGGACGCACGGCCTATCATCTCACATATTCCCCATCCATCAGATCCATCTCCATCAACGATGCTGCTATCAAATTCGGCCTTCCTGACTTACGGCTGGCCATTGCTGATTTTCTTCGTCGCGAAGCTACCCACGGACAGAATTATGTCCACACAATTGGGGGAGCCAGGAGGGCTGGACCTACTGCTTCCCTGCCATTTGATAAAATTCAAATCTGGTTCAAACTTCGCCTACAGGACACAGAGTTTCACGACAGTAGCATCATACGGCCCGCGCAGACCCTGAATTGTGTGCCGCCTTCTGATGTCTGGAACTCTGGTAGGTACGACTCAGCTATTGTGAACAACGAGTCAGGGTGCCTTTGGCCTGCTCATGGTCTTCGTGGTATGTTACAACCTTCTATCATGCTGAATACATTCTCACTGTTATCTTTCAGGTCACACAATTGGTCAAATTAGACTTATCATGCGTCCAGTTGGAAGAATCAACACGGATTGGTCATGGGAGGACCGTTTCCTTGTCTATATGTACCGGTGTAGGGATTCATTTCTGGCTGGGCTTGTAGAGACTGTTTTTACCTTACTTTATGTTGGCACTTTTGTAGCTTACATAATCAAGCAATCTTTTCACCAGTTACCAGTATGAGTCTGAGTGCTCAGTAGTTTTCTATGATATTTCCTCTCCTCTGAGCCTTGAGCCTGGTCCAGAAACCCTTTAGGGTCGAATAGCAGCTAGGTTCTGCAAGACCCAACATATTGTTCAGACTCACCATCTGAATTGTTGTACCTTCACCGGTTTGATGGTACAACAAGCGCTCGTGATCCTGCCACACAGTTGCACTCGATCAGAAGGGCGAAACGTTCCAACGGTACATTAGTGGGCGATATTATACCACTGACGCAGATCAAGGCTCCTGTTAATCTCATTCCTCGCTTTGGAGCCAGTGCAGACAGCCGTTTTACCTCACAGAACAGCATGGAGCACGCGTCAGAGTTTTGGGTAAATAAATTTTGGGACAAGAACACATTCTTTCCGCTCTCTATGTAGCTTCCTGCCTGTATTTTTAACTTTTGTGCTATTGGTTGTCAACGAGCTTCTTTCTGATATATTCTTAGTTCAACGAGCATTGATGGATGTAGTGACGCCGTGCGATAAGGGCATCTTGTTGCTCCCACCGTTGTCATATTATAGCTTAGAGTATACCGAACAAATGCCACCTCAGTTCTTTTTCAGGACGGGTGGCTACGGAATAAAGTTGTCGTCATTGGTCTCGCTCCCTGCCGCTGTTTCAGGCGATGCCCTTACAATGAACAAGTACACGGCCGAGGAACTAAATCGTCTAGTTACGCAGGAAGATGAACCCTCTAATTCGCAATCGCTAGGACACATGCTCTCTCATATCTTTCAGCCTTTCAGCATACCTCTACCGGATCTATCTACGCTCCAGATCCCACTCAAAAACATCCTTTATCACAACGAACGTACCAAAGCAAAATTCAGCAAAAATTCACCAGATGACCTGGTGCCATTGTACGATACTGATGCGCAGCTATGGAACTGGGACCTTCCAACTCTTGCTCCCACAAACGAATCTGAATCAACAACTCACTCTCAACCACCTGAAAGCTTAGATTCGGAGGGCAATGCAGGGACCGGCGAAACCGCAAAAGCAACTCACGAAGAAATTTTCTCATCATTCTTCAACGCTTTGGCTATCTGCTTAGCGAAGGCAGAGCCCAAACTACTAGCCAACCCCACTGCGACGCGCACGTGGACTGCGGCCCACGCACATAAAGCATTACCTGGTAGTGAGGTGAAGCGGAAACCCGATCTCCTCTTGTCAGACGAGATCACAGCAAATTGGGGGAATATCAGGGTATCGGCTGAGCTGACGCACAGTTCATATCAACCTGCGTTGCGACTCGTGAAAGCTGCTGATAGTCATGCATATCTCATGCTGAGCGAGCAGCCTTGGAGGCGCTTTGCGCTTGTACTATCACTCACCAACGAGTACCGGGAGCTCAGAGTCCTTTTCTACGATCATGCCGGTGGTGTCGTGTCCCCTGCCTTCAATATCTACCGAAAACCAAGCATTGTTGCTCACATTATTGCTGCCCTTCGTTTCGGCAGCCTCGAGTGCATAGGCTATGACTTGACAGTCTCCTTCACAAGACACATTTCTCCTCCCCAACGCCATGCCAATAACTATCGTCTGATCAAGAACCTCCCTGCCAAACGGCAACCTGCAGATCACGTCATGGCTGCAGCCACGTCTGAGCTCCCTTATCCACCACCCGGTGATGTTGAGGGTGCACCAAGCGCTGTCATCGAGACGATATATCCCGACTCAGAGCCCGAGTCCGAGCCAGAGCCAGAGCCAGAGCTAGAGCCAGAGCCAGAGCCAGAGTCCGAGTCCGAGTCCGAGTCAGAGCCGCATGCTGACGATGGTATGCACGTTTCTATGAAGAATCTGGAGGATCCCCACCTGGTACAAGCCACTGCCATCTCCAGCGCCCCCCTTCTCAACCTCGCATCCCAAGCGCCTGAG